CAGTAGGTAAGATGTGGAATCAACCCAAATGCCCCAAAATAGATGACTGGATCAAGAAGATGTGGGACATATACACAGTAGAATATTACTCAGCAATCAAAATGTAAACTCATGTCTTTTGTAGCAACATGGATGGAAATGGAAGGGATCATGCTTAGTGAAATAAGGCAGAAAGGCAAAGAAAAATGCCGGCTAGTTTCACTCATATCAGGAGTGTAAGGGATTAGGAAAAAAAAAAGTAATTGTATGAAAGTAAAAATGAACACTAATTATTATAAACCGGAGACATTCTATGGGGGAGGAGAGGGGAACAGTATCAAAACAGGTGGGAAGAGCACATGGGACTATTGTGATGGTGCTTTGGTGAACTGGTGGTGGGCAGTCCACGTGGATCACAACTGAGATGGAAAAATGTACAAAATGAAGTAAGATGTAGTATATATAAAATAAAGGCTCAGTCAACCACATACACATACACTCAGGAAAATTATACTGTCCAAAATATGTGAGAAGAGACAGGAAAAGGCCTAGGACGAGAGGGGTAGAGGGGTCAGTTCTTCAATTTTTGACTCTCAAATTTAATGTGACTTTGCTTGGACTTCAACTTTGTTTAATATTAGCAAGGCCAATTTTATACATTTATATAAATATTAGAAACATACAAGGCAGTATTTTAAAAGACACAGAAAGATACTATATAAGGTTTTTCATATAGTGGGGAAAACAAGGGATTCAAGAGATAATCTTTGTTCAGTGTTACAGGTAAATTTTCTTTAAATTTTTCTGCATAAGATAGGGTTGGGAACCAGGTAATGCAAGTGCTACAGGCTCAGTGCTAGTGCTGGCTTAGAATTCTTGGGTTTGGTCTGGTATGGTGAATAATGATAGGAGACTTGGAGAGGTTGGTAATTCTGTCCAGGCCTGGGAAGCAGTTGTCTGCTGACCTAGTAAGCTGCACATTGACAGGGTATTAACTAAAGTTTAAAGAATCTTTGGGTCCCTTATAGGTGGGGATGTTAGGAATATTTGATATGTTTGGAATAATTTTAAAGGAATTTAGATATTTAACTCAAAAAATAATCAATGGATTAGGCATGAAGAAAAACTGCTTAACTTGTCATTTAGTCAGGTGATGATTAATATCAAACATCAAAATATTTAACTTTGAGCCATAGTTAAAGTGTTTTATGCTGTTTTATTTTTCTAAATTCAGTTCAGTCCAGTAAATTTGTTCATATTTTGTTAATCTTAAAGATGGAATTTTACCTGGAGGTGGAATATTTCCTGCTTATAAGTTATTCAAATGAATATTTTCAAAGAATTTTCACAAGCTGATAAAGCGTTGAAAAAATGAAAGAAATGCTGTAATGTGGTTTCTTTGGTATTTGTGATCATATGAACAAGAGAATTCATGAATTGAAATAAATCAGTCTAGTCCTCTTCCCATCCAACTATATACACAATATATTTATAACAATCATATTAAATAAATGGTGACATAGATAAAATTGAATAGGGTCATGAAAAAATACTTTAAGAGGATATGATACAGGAAAATAAGAACTTTGATTGTGGGTTATCATTTTTTGTATAATTATCCCTTAGCAAATATTGTTTGAATTACTGGTTAATGCTTTATTAACATTTAAAATTTTAAAAATTCTATTATGGAATGAATTGAAAACACAAAATATTTTAAATTTAAATTTTATGATAACAGCCACTTCTATATTTTGATATATTTCACCTATTAACTTTGCCAATGCCACAGCTATCTTAATTAAATACTATGAAGATTAAATGTAATTTCCTACCACAAAAATTGGACATTGGACAAGAGCAACATTTAAATTCACAAGAATTCAAGTCATCACTCACTGGAACCCCTTTTGAAATCAGCAGTCCACATAAAAATGTTAATTACCATCTTGCCTACAGATCAAACAAACGGTCAATATTTGCAAAATACATTTAATTCTTAGACTACTTTTCATCTGCTTCTAAAAATGGTTAGAATGCAGCAAACATTAACTAAAATATTATGAACCTGATTTTAAGGTGATCTTTCTTTTTCTAGTGGGCACATCTGGAAGAAGAAAATAAGAAATGTTTTAAAACTTAAATATATAAGCTTATAGCAACTACATAGTCAATTATGCCTATGTTAATTGGATTATTCCTATTGAGTTAAAATTCTAGCATTATAACCCTACTTTCAATACAGTGTTGTAAACCAATGTTACTTTAATTGAAAAAGATATTTTCTAAAAGCCAATTATTTCAAGTGAGAAAACCATGATCGTGTTTCACACATGAATTTAAAAAAATATAAGACCATTTTGTTTCTCTTCCCCTTTATAATTTTAGCTTTTACTCTTGATGGAGATTAAAGATTATTCTATTCTGATTAATACAATTTGTTCAATTTATGGAGCATTTCAGAAAACAGAACTTTGGAGATTAAGCATAACTATAAATATAACAAATACTACAAGACAAAATAGCCTTCCATTAAATAATTCTAAAAGTGAAAAAATTATCAATGAAAATATCAGTTAAAGAATATTGTTTTTTTACTCTAAGATACTTATATAGAAAAATATTTGAAGTTTTCTCAAAAATCTAAGACTATGTTCTGGGGTCCCTAAATGATGTTGTCACTGGGTTTTTATATAAAAAGATAAGTTACCTGTTTACCAAAAAAATAAAAAATCTTTTTATTTATCGTGTCATTCAATATATGTACAATTTTAAGGATGAAGTATGGAGATTTTAACCCACAAATCCACATTAAATTTCTTTGTTGAAAGTGTTCGTTCCAAAACTAGCCCTAATTGAGTTTATTTAGGCTTGATATCTTTACCAGGTAGTTTTTTTTTTTTTTAATCAGGCAGTATTAGAAAAGGATATTTTAATATTTGTTTGCTCAAGGACTGAAAAAGACAACACCAGGGCTCTCCCTGGTGGCACAACAGGTTAAAGCTCAGCACTGCGAAGCTAGACTCAGCTGCTGCACCATGAGTTCGATACCAGCCAGGGGTTGAGTCACATGGCACAGCGGACTTCTGTCCTCCCCGCTGCTCCCCTCAGCAGTGTACTTTGTCGATCTGACTGTTCTGCTCCCCGCTTGTCTCTAGTGAATCCTCTCACCACCCCTGCACCTCTGGTCTGTAACCCAATTCTGTATGCATAAATAAATAAATCTTAAGACAAAAAACAAAACCCAAAAAACCCATATAGTATGAGGCATGACTTTGGGGAAAATGCCTCACTCTGGCACTTTCAATATGTTTGAATTTTTGAGTGCTTTGTGTTTATATTACAGCACTAAAATATTCTTCCATTTCTCATGTCATATTTAAGATAGTCCTTACTAAACTATTAAGTTCTGGGGTAGAAGAAGAACGAAAGTTTGCTAACTTTTGTTATTTATTCACATTATTTTCAAAATTCCCATGAAAAGATCTGAAATTAAATACACATACTGCCTGACCGTAGTGAAAGTCAAGGATTAAAAGCACTAAGGAAAAGAAAGAAAAAAGATCTGTGAGTATCTAATAAAAGCCCAAGGTAAAATTTTATGTTTACAGGTAGGAGAAAAATATAATAGAGTAACATACTTTTTTATGATCAGATTTGGTGAAGCACAAAGAGTTTTTAAATATTGTATGCTTTTCCCACAACATAATTGAAAGGCTGCTAATTCAAAACTCTTTAACGAGGAAAGTGGGACGGTGGGCATTGCCTTCAACCTTCATTTTATTAATGACAGAAATGGTCTTTAAATAAATCCATTTTATATCAGCATATCATTGCTTTGGGCCTCATAACATTTAATGTCACTTATAGTAGGTGATACTCAGCAGATATGGTCAGGCGGGTACCTTTCTTTTTAAGATTCGTTTTTATTTTATAAGAACTGGGGTGTAGGCCACAGGTGCAGGAAGGTGGGAGGCAATGGGTGAGAGGATTCACCAGAGCAGAGTGGGGAGCAGAACAGGCAGATCTATTGAAATACACTGCTGAGGGGAGCAGTGGGGGAGACTGGAGAGGCCTGCACCTTCAGGTGGGTCAGCTCCCTGGCCTGGATCTAATTCAGGCCCCAGTGGCTGGTAATAGTTTGATGGTGCTGAAACTTTTATTCCTGTGCTACCATGGAGGCCTCCAGGCAGGTAATATTTTAATGACCTAACCTGATCCAGGAGGATATGAAGATGAGGTATCTTGCTGTTTCTCTAGGCATTTTCCTTGAAGGCTCATGATCAGTAGTTTTGAGGGTGAACTTTTGGCATGAACTGTATAGAAGTTAGGTTTAGGCTGAAATTTCTGGTAAAGGTTGGAATGCAAAAAGATAGAACTATGGACAACAGGATTGAAGCAGTTCCACATGATTACACACAGCAGACTAGACAAAGTTTGCTTTTATTTTCTCAATTCAGGGATAAAGTAGATAAGGCAAAACAAAGGATTACCTTCATTCTGTGTTTGTTTGTGTGTGTGTGAAAGGCAGATTTCCTGTAGGGATGGCTAGTAATTCAGGACATTTACATAAAATGGAGTGCAAATGAAGGAAGGAATCTTTCTTCCTAATTCTCATGGGTATAATTGCAACCCCAAGACACTGTATTCCTGTTAATCTGGGCATGAGGTTAAAAAGTCATACTGGAGCATACAAACTTCACATTTCTAAAAATAATGATAATCTCTTATTTCAATCGCTTTTCAGATCTTTTTTCACTTCGGTTTCTTTTGGTTTCATTTTGGATCTTTACTTTCCTACTTCTGGGAATGTTGAATTGATTTGCACTTTCATAAAGAAAGCACCACAAACATAATTTTCTTGATTTACTCAGTCATAGAATTTCTTATGAGCAAAATAATCCAGAAGCAGAGCCCTGATGATGAATCACAGGTGATCATAGTTTCTCTAGAATCTCAAGAGCTCATAAAAGTTACAGTAGTCTAGAGTTTTTGATATAGGTTAAATCACTGTGGAATACCTTAATAAAACATTTTGGAAGTGGAACAAAACTTGTTGTTACAGGTAAGTATTAAAGAGTTTATTTTTTTCCAAGGTAATAATAGAAAGAAGGCCAAAAATTAATTAGAAAAATAATAAAATGTTTAGAAATAATGGGATGTGATGAGACTAGATCCTTGGGAAAACTTTGGAGGGATTTTAAAGCCAGTCCTTATAGTGAAGTATCTAATAGACAGCATAGAGCAGATGCTGGAATAGGACCTGGCTTTGTGTACATGTGGACTGGTATAAAATTCTCTGTACAATAATGGGTATATGAAAGTGTTTGGCTCAAGGAGAAAATTTATTATTACAGGTAAATTTATTCTTTTCTGCTGATGAAAGGGTACTGCTAAAGAGATGGGACTTTGGAGTGATGGAACTTGGTTTCATCACTTTCTGCATATGTGATCTTCATGACTATTCTCTGCCTCAGTTTCATATACCATAAAATGGGATAATGATGTGTATCCAGCAAGGGTTGTATGAGAATTGAATGGGGTCGCATGAATGAGCACTTGGCAGATTGTCTAACACATGATAGTGCTGGATTGAGAGATCCCTGTTCAAATGTCAGGGGAGATTGTCTTCAGCATAGAGAGTTATTTTCAGCCAATAATACTGAAATCAGACTTTTTTCCAAAGGATTCAGCTGGATTTCTAGATGCTTAAATGAAATTATTTTGTTGTCCTCACACACACAAAAGTATACTTAGAGGTTTTGGTTTTTCTTCTGTGACCTTTTCCTCCCTTGCCCTCAAGAAAATGAGATTAAAATGTTTTTTAATAGCATTGTCCTTTTATTTGCTTTACATATTAATTCCTTATCTTAATTGATATATTCTCTTACACCAACAATTACTGACTTTAATCTTTATAGCCAATGCATTTGGTCCTCATGCTCACATTTATAAGAAAATGTCCAAAATATAAAATCAATTAACTATAATTAGATATAGCATAAATTTGAAATTCACATTGCGTATGATATAGTTTTTTACTTTTGTGATGAAAGTGATAAGAATAAATATAGAACACAAGTCATTACCAATATAACTGTTTGAAATATACATTCTATAGAAAATATAGTAGACATTTGGTAAATTACACAAAACTCATGTTATCAAATATTAGTGATAACTTAGGCTTTTAACTCCAATTATTATTGAAATATGAAAATTAATTCATATAAATGAATTGGACAGGTTTACTTACTTATTTATTTTTATCTGGTTTCTTGCCTCAGTATTATAAAAATCATTTTGAACATAAAACAGTTAAGTTTTAAAAAGATTATTGAAAGAAAAACATACAATTAAAAATTAAAATATAGGCACTAACTATAGAATGATCAGAATTAAGTAACAGTTATCTATTTCATGGGGATTATTATGGAAGTTCAAGCTTCATTTTATCTTGAGAAGAATGAAATTTAAATAAAATAGCTAAGGAAATAAGAATAGTGTGTTACCATATATAAACTTTCTTGATATGTTAACTGATCTTCAGTTTAATTAATATAATGAAAAAAGTTTCTAAGAAAGTTTTTATGGAGAAAAAAATTTTCTAAGAATAAATTTAGATTATTTAATATATTGACTAGGACAAAAATTATGTAAATGTAATATATACTTGAAAAATTTTCTTGTTTTACATGTTTTTAAAATTAAAAATAAAGGGTAAGTTTGGGGAAATACACACTAGATACTCTTATAATCTTCAAGTACTATTTGCATTAAAAGCATAATGTATGAAATTAATAAAAGCAGATTGTGAACTCATTGTTTTTATAGCATGATAACAAACAACATTGTTTAATGATTTGATATAAAAGTTCAGGAGCTTGGCAACACAGAACTTTCAAAAAATTTTTCCTTCTAATTTAAATAAGAAATCTAATTATTTTGATAAGAAATTGCCCACTGAATTAAACTAACTCCAAACTAGCCCCAAAGTGATATTAGTATAATATGTGAGTTTCTTTTGGAAATCAACTTAGAAAGTGTTCTAACATTTTTAATTTCAATCATTTAGTTAACAATAAATGTATTATCAAGTAACTTTCTAGTATTCAAGTGACAGTTGTTTTTAAATGTATGATATTCTGTGATCTGTTTTGGCATGATACCCACAAAGAGTCCTAAGTTTAGAACAATTATATAGACACTTTATTCAGAGTGTGGAAAAGAAGACAGGAAATAGTGGAGATTTTAGGCAGCCCAGCAGCCATCCATTCAGAGCAGATATTAAGCTATCTGGGAGAATACAGGATGTAAATAATTGTCATGATTAAACTTCAAATTAAATTCCACATAAAATGTGAGTTCGGTTAATAGTTTCTAAACTGAAAGAAAAGTCTGACATATTACTTGGTAAGATTAATATAAGAGCATGTCTGAAAATAATCAACAAGTTTTTCATAGAATTTTTAGAACTATAGCTATGTTGCTCCTAAATTCTATATGCCATAAATAATCTGAAGATTCACCTTTATTATTGCCCTACTGAAAGCTCTGCAATGAAATGGTATGTTACAGAAATCAGCTAGGAGAATGCTATTGCTTCAGAGTGCTCCTGGGTCCACACTTGAAGCTGAAAGCCAATTTGATAAGGATATAAGTACACTTGGAATTAGATTCCATTCAAACAAATGACAATGATGTTTAAAAAATGTTTAGTCTTCCACATGACATTGTATGGGAAATAAGGTAAACCTGCTATATTGCAGAATGGTTATGTGAAGCGTGATGCTCCACAGAGCTGAGAAGCATGTGGACGTGTGACATGATCAAAGTATGTAAGTTAAAAAATTCATGAAATAGGACAGGAACCGCTTTAGTAGTGACCAAAGGTTCTGTCTATAAACACATCACCAATGTTATCTTGTCTCCTCCACTATTACCACCACCATTCACCTTGAAAACATGATACACTATGATAGTAGGGGAAAAAAAAAGATTTTTTAAAAAAGAAATGTGTTCTTGAATGTTGGGAGTCAGGACTGTCTAGACATTGAGACAGTCAAATGTCATATGGTAGTATTTGGAGAGAGAACAAAGTTCAGGTTTTAACGCTGGCTCCATCTCTTAATAAATTCTGATTTGGGCACAAGTTTTATAATCTCTTGAACATTATTTCCCATTGAAAATTAGTACAGCACTAAGTACCTTACAAACTATGGTAGATAAACCATAAGTTAAAGTCAGCTCTAGTCCTATGACATTTCTTCTTTCTTTCATTCAGTGCTGAGTTGTTTCAAACAACACAACATTTCTGTTTCTCCAGTGATTGCTTTCTTTTTTAAGTGATTTTTAAATTATGTTTACTTTTAAATATTTTTCTTGTTTTACATCATTCTTCGTTTTTGTACAATGTATGCTTTTTCATCTCAGTTGAAATCCCCCTGGACTTCCTAGTAACTCTTTCCAATTGCTTTTCCATGTCTCCCACAGATAAAAACCTTGATGCAGACTTCTCACCAAAGCCCATAGTTTTTCTTCCTTCAGATACTGAAATAAATCTCCATAAGACTAGAACATATATTTGTCTTCTTGAGAATTTTTTCCCTGATGTCATTAAGGTAGAATGGAAAGAAAAGAATAGCAACAAAGTCCTGGGATCACAGGAGGGAAATACCATCAAGGATGGAGATAGGTACATGAAGTTCAGCTGGCTGACGGTGCCTGAAAAGTCAAAGGACAAAGAATATGTCTGTGTTGTCAAACATGAGTTTAACAGAGGGATTGATCAACAGATTCTCTTTTCTTCAATAATGAAAGGTATGTATATAAATATAATCATAAACATAAATATAAATATAACTTTCCAGAACCCCTTCCCCCCCAAAAAAAAATATAGGGAATACACTACCTTGTTGGTCCAGTATTAATGAAAGCAAAATTTTATGTCTTTCTAAGATATTATATTTAACAGTGATGTAAGTATCCTGCCATTTCCCCATAGATTAATATACTATAGACTTTGAACATGGGAAAAAAAAAAAACTTCTTTACTCAGTTTCAGTATTATCGTCCATAAAATTAGGGGAATGATGATGTTTGTTTAGAGTTTTCATTTGGATTAAAGAAAACAGCAACTTGAAATTTAGCACATAATACATGTTCATAAAGGAGTTCCATTTTTGATGATCTTGACTGATCAGGAAATAATGACAATTATAGCTTTTTTTATGAATGTTCTACTTAGCAAGGAAAGTCATTTGCAACTCATTTTACATAGAGAACATTTCTAATCCAGATTTTTATGAACACATTAAATTTTGGTGTAGATTCTTGGAATAACTAAATAATTTTGGTACTGACCATTCAAGTCAGCAGTGTGTGGCATATGCTGAAGTTCAAAGCAGCCTCATTTTCTTTCCAGAAAAGGTTTTACCAAGCAGCCGCCCTCAGACAAGCACTGTGCCAGTACCTCTCACTACAAGAGGACAGGATGATCTTGAGTACACTTCCCCATCCCCATCTGAGATAAAAGATGAAAACAGTAAGTTTCTACACATGCCTTGATTTTCTGTAATACATTTTTCTCCTGATCAAACTCAATTTTGAACTGATGTAAAAAGAAAAATCTATTATCTATCTATCTAACTTCTATCTATAATCTACCTATCTATTATCTATCTATCAACTACACACATCAACATACAGTGTCAAATAATGAACATGAACATTTAATACATGTTATTGGTCCTTTTAGATACTGGTAGCTATCCTATAAAGTTTAGTCTGGAAGATGAAAGTGGTAAGTTTTTGTATATGTTTGTTTTTGTATATGTTTGTTTGCTATAACTTGAGTTTTCTCCTGTTTACTTAGCTTTTGAGCTTCCATGTTGTAAGGTAGAAAAAAATGGATTTTGTATAAGAGAATCAGTGATACTTTAAATAATTCTATCATTTCCTAGGTGGCATCTTAACACAATCAGTGTTGGTTTGGGAATGAGATAGCTGACATTAGTGTACAGTCATGCACTCTGAATTATTTGTGCAAAGGATTTCATTCACTTGTGTTATTTCTGTTTCTAATGTCTGGAGAAACATGCTATCAACTTGTTCCTAGATTATTTTTTTTTTAAAGACTTATTTATTCTTACAGAACTGGGGTACAGGCCAGAGATGAGGAGGGTGAGAGGATTCACCAAAGACAGAGGGGGGTACAGAACAGGCAGATAGATGAAGTACCCTGCCGAGGAGAGCAGCGGGTGGGCCAGGAGAGGTCTGCTGCACCATGTGGTCACCTCCGGAGCAGGCGGGAATCGAACTCATGCAGAAGTGGCTTCAGCTTCTTTGTGCTGTGCTTTAACCTGCTGCGACACCAGGGAGGGCCATCTAGATTATTTTTTAATGCTTTGGTCGATGTCAGTAGCTAGTGGCATGAATTGGCAGAGAACTTCTTATACAAGTGATTGTGCTATATTCTATATGTACGTTCTTACTGAAGTCTCACAATTCTCCTATGAGGTGGTAAATATTTTCCTATCTCCCTCATTTTATAGATGACAGCAATGAACTAAAATTAAGTTTCTTGTACCCTGACATTCAGCTAGATCTAGGGTTTCAACATAAAGCATCTGATCAAAAGTTAATGTACTCACAACTCCATTCTTCCACTCAGAAGTAGTTGTAGAGCAGGAAATCCCAATGTCACAGGGCTGAGACATAATAGCTATATGGGGACTTGAGGGTAAGAGCATGGGCTTGAGAGTACCACAGATCCAACTTTAACTCCAGTTCTTTAGATTAATCAGTGCATGAGTATGGACAAACTACTTACATTTTCTGAACAATGTAAATATATCTGCCATTTTGGAATAATCACACCAAAATCCATTACTGAAGAGAGACAGTCACCTTTGTAGAATGTCTAGCATAGGGTTGCTTCTTTAGCTGGCACAGAATCAGCACTAGTTTCTAGCCCTTTCCCTTACATATGCACCAAAAACAGTGACTAAAAGCAGGACTCCAGTCCTTGATCTTCCTTCCTATTTCAATAACAAGGGGCTCCTGGACGTCAGCTAATGCCTTACCTGATCTAAGGTATGGAAATCACATCCTGATATAAGCAAATCACCTCCTGAAATTGCTTTTAACACCAGGTGCTACTGATTCTAGAGTATTGGATATATCAAGATAAATCATGCAAAAGGGAAATTTATAAAGGGCAAGACTCACACATCCTGAGTTCATAGAGTATCCTGTCAGCAAGCCACATTGTCACTTATCATATCTTGACATTGTAAATTCCTACAAAAATTGAAAGGATATTATGTGCAATTCTAACATCATAGCCACAGTGAGAGACATTCTTTACTAAAACCTCCTAACCTCTCCAGTGTCAATACATTCAAATTCCTATGGATTCTGTCCTTTCTGGGAATATCATTGTATTAATAATGTGGATGCCATCTAAATCAGCAATTCAGCTTTATTTTATACTTAGCTTTAGACATGTATATATATTGCATTTGGAAATGCAGTAGGTAAGAATGTATTTTTTAAAATTATGTTGCTGGAGTTGAAATATGGTCTGCTATTTATTAAATGCATAGCATCATGGAAATTACTTTTCTCTTTAGTAAACATTTAGTAAGACTAAATATTTACATGCATAGAGCTAGGCATTTGATTAGTAGCTAAAGATAATTAATTTTACTATTATTACTTAGAGAAATGGTCTGGGTAAAGAAATACTAAAAGGTAATTTATCAGAGTTTACTCCCTATAAGATGCATTTAATAGATATGAAACCTCACTTTTAAATATTTTGGAATGTTCTGCTTGAATGTCGCAGAGGTTGTTGATTAACTTCACAAGACACTGGGTTCTGTTGAGTTACTGTTTTCCTTGGTGGTGGGAGTGGTTGTAGGTATTTACTTCAGTTTTTGGTACTAGGAGGATGTCACCTCAGAGTTAGCTATCAGAAATAAATCATTGTGACCCGAGCTCTATTTGTGTTCTGCTATTTCAAAAGCAACTAATCACAAGACTTTCCTTAGGGCTACTCCAACTTCAGCTCACCCACACCAACGTCTCTGCCTTTTACACCTATGTCCTCCTCCTTCTCAAGAACATGGTCTACTTCGCCTTTATCACCTTCAGTCTGTGCAGGAGAGCAGAAGGCCGCAGCAATGGAAAGAGTCCCTAAAGATGTTGCCACAAAGTCTTCAGCTTTTGTTATCATATAACCCCTGAGCTGTCTGTCTCTCTGGGTTTGGATTATTTTAGTTCTGTGTTTCTCTAGTATTGTGTAATGGTTTTTCAAAACCTGGGCAAACAGAAATTTTCACTGTGTAACAGCAACAAATTCTGCCATTACTCAGGGTCAGGTATCTGATTGAACCGTTGCTTAGTCCAATGTCAATAATCTCCATAAACTTCTGCAGTCAACCCAGTTATCCTTAATGTTGTGTACTGACAACATGCAGCTTCAGCCATACTCCCTTAGTGACTTTTAGCCACTTAATTGCCTTGGAGATTTTCATTTTATATACCCTGAATCTGCAGTCTGTGCTACTTGAAATCTGTAATTTGTTTTGCATAATAGACAACATAAAATAAAAAAAAATCAAATTCCACTTTTGACTATGTGTACTTTAATTTAGTAAAATTTAATTGAAAGTTGAAGAGAAGAAACAGCATGACAACTGAACGCTCAAATCCAGCATTGCTAGAGTAATCATGCAGACTTCAAAATCCTTCCCGGAGATCGAGGTTATGAGTCTTTCTTTGAGGCATTGTCTCTAAGGGGAACTCCATCAAACAAAGTTGCCCACATTACTTGTCTTGCAAAGCCCTCCAGATTCACATTCAGTTGGTCTGGCACATTCCTCTAGCAGTGACTGAGTCAAACATGCCTTGCACTGTGTGCATAGTGCTTAAGGAGCCCCGGTTTCTGATCCTCACGTGCCCCACAAGAGCTGCACAAACACAGAGAGGCAGTGTGGAGGAGGGTGAAGGTCCAGCATGGTGGTGACTGGTTTGAATCCTGGGTTGGGTGTTTATATCTGTGTGGCCTTGGGCAAGCTCCATGAATCTTTGTGTTATCACTTCTTCATTGAAAATGAAATTACAGCTCACTGTTTCCTGGATTTATGGGTTTAGGTGAATGAATGTACTTAAAACATTTAATCCTCAACAACAATGCCACCTACTATTGGTAACTGCTCTTTAAAAAAAAAACACACACACAAAAAAAAGCACTGACAATCATCTGGATTTTGTTCTGCAGAGGTCAGATGCGTATAGAACAGAGGTTGGTGAGCTTCTACTACATTCTAGGCATCATTTAATCTTTCAGGAATCCAACAGGGTAGGGACAATTATAGAGCACCCTTTAAGTGACTGCGGAGACTACGCTAGTTACTCCACATCGCCGTATTTTAAGTGATTTTCATACTTTAAAGCCACATGTCTCTGAACTCAGGGCTCCTATCTTTAAACCTCTAACATTAGGCAGCTCTTAAGCAAGAATGCTGGGATGTGAATCCTAGCAGTCTGGCTTCAAGGAGCTCTGCTAGTAACTTCTAAGCTAATTACAACCAGAGAAGAAGTATGTTACTTTTATCCTCAATTCAGCAGTACAACTTCTTCCCATATTTGTGATTCCATGGCAAGTTAGGGATAATTGGACAGCTTCAGAAACTTCATGAGAATTAAAAAGACTCCAGAGATAAGGGCAACAAACCCCAAAGGGGACTAAACAAACATCCCAGGATTGGGAGCAACAGAATCTTCTGGAACAAAGACAATAAAGAAAAAGGATTCCAAGATAAGGGCTGGGACACAGAGACTTAGTTCTGGGCACAGAGACTTTATGACAGTGAGTGAGAGCATGGAGAACTAACCAATCATGATGATAAGACTGATGGAGCTTTAGAACAGTTAGGCAAAGACAGTCTATATTCCCTAAGGCAGGACTCCACTTCAAAAGTCTCCCTTGTCTCCCTTGTCTCCCTGGCCTGGTTCCACTGGCATATGACTCCCACTTTATTTCTGTTTCTTTTCTTCTTAATAAACTTTTTCTTTCTCGAAACCAGTTTGCCTCCTCGCTTACTTGTCTGAGAGTCTGCAAAGTTCCCGTTGGGGCTTTGTGAGACACGAACCTGTGGTGGTTTGGTTCCCGGACTCAGCACTGACATTGGAGCCTGAGAGTTGTCCCTGACTAGGAGACTAGGCCTGAAAACCGGACATTTTTATTACTAGGTTACAGCTAATGTAGACAAGTTCCTATTTACCTTCTACATTTCTTGTCTTTGCTCCTATTTGTCCCCACAATTAGAATATCATAGGTCAACCTGCCACATGACATGTCATGCTAGGATGATGTTTATATGCCACTTATAAAACTTTCAGTCTAAATATATTCCAGTATGATGTCTTTGAATGAGGGACTTGCCTTTTCCATTATACTCATTATCAATTGGAGATGATCATAAGAGCAATATCATAGGACTGTTGGGATAATAAAATAAAATTAGAAAACTTAAAACAATGCACATTATGAAACAAATCCTCAGCATTTTAAAGCTTATCACTACATTGAAAACAAACATTGCTTTGATTATACTTGTGCTAGTAATTTAACGTGCAAAGGTCAGCTGTAAGGTCTGGAGTGAATAGAAGCTCATTTCACACTTATAAAAAAAACCCCAGTGTTTGTATAAGTGGCATAATAAAAGACATTGATGAGATATTGCAGTATCTGAGTTTGTTTTGTTGTATTACAGAAAATAAAAGTTTTGTACCCAAGTTTTGTAATCGAGTCCTGAATTCACAATTGCAAAAAGTTAGACAAGGGACCAACCATAGCAGGTGTGTGTTCACATGTTTAGATTATGATTTCACTTGTAGAATTTCAGGGTTAAATAATGAGTATATGTAGGAATTGTCCTTCCCCTAACAACAACAACAACAACAACAACAAAAGATGTATGATTTCATACCTGGGAATTCCCAGATTTTGAATGCTCTTTCTGGTTCTGCCAGCACCATAGTCAGTAGGAGACTGCATGCAAGCTTTTTGTTTTCATTCTCATGTAGTAAAATTAATCAGTATTTTTGGCTATTGCATGTTGAATTTGAGTTAATTATAAACTCATTACTTTATCCCATTTTGCATAGAAAATGTACTCTGTAGAAGGTCAAGTAACAAATAAGGCACTTGGGCTCAGTGGTCTCTACTGTGATTACAAACTTGTGTCATTGATAGAGGGATAGAAAGTCACAGAACTACCCATATCTGTAGCAGAGCATGGTGAACCCCAGTAAACTATGAGCACTACCACTTCCTCTGAGACAAAGAACCAGCCCCACCCTCTTACAACTGGCCTTAGTTTTCTTGCTAACGGAGACCTCAGTTGCTTACATTCTCTCTGGGAGCCGCCAGCCAACAGGATGCTTCTCCTAGAAGCTGTCGTCTTCTCTTCCCTCTGGGCTTGTGAGTTGTCCATAGTCAGTAGGAGACTGCATGCAAGCTTTTTGTTTTCATTCTCATGTAGTAAAATTAATCAGTATTTTTGGCTATTGCATGTTGAATTTGAGTTAATTATAAACTTATTACTTTATCCCATTTTGCATGGAAAATGTACTCTGTAGAAGGTCAAGTAACAAATATTTAAGGCTCTTGGGCTCAGTGGCCCCTACTGTGATTACAAACCTGTGTCATTGAGCAATCATATAGAGGGATACAGGGATAGGCATGGCTGTACTCCATGACTGTTTAGGGTAACTGTCACTTCATCTACAAGAGAAACAGAAAATTTTTTAGTGTTTTCTCAGTGTTTATCATTTATGTGGATTTCATTTTTTTTTTTGTTTGTTTGTTTGCAGTTGGCTTTGGTCAGTTAAAATTGGAACAACCAAAAATATCAATTTCCAGCATAAGATATCAGGATGCCATCATATCTTGTCAGGTGTCCTCTAACAATTTTGATAATGCATACATACACTGGTACCGACAGAAACTTGGTCAGAATATAGAACTTCTAATATATGTCGTCTCAACAAAAAACGTTGCTCAGCGTCAAGTAGACGGGAAGGAAAAACTTAAAGCCAGTAAAGACTCTCATGCTTCCACTTCAACCTTGAAAATTATTTATGTAGAAAAAGAAGATGAGGCTACGTACTACTGTGCCAGCTGGGACCACGGCATTCAAACCACCAAGATCACAAACACAAAAATCAACTAGAAGTTAGCGCCACATCCTCTCAATAAAGGGGCTCACAGAGGCCTCATATCTGGGAACCCATCCTGAGACTCCCTTTCTGCAGAATGGCAGTCGTGTTCTACTTTATTATTGTCCAGATGTGACCTGCAAATATGTGTATCAGACTCAAATAGAAAATTATTCCTGCAGGAGATGTGCTGGTGATAGCGCATCATCTATAATCATGATAGCACTTTTGCGATGCCATTGTTGAACTTGAATATACGTAATTGGAGCTGGTTCTAATTCTCAGTGCAGGGAGACCACTGTCAGAAAGGAGATTCGCAGAAAGACTGACATGACATGGCCCCCACCCCCACCCCCACCAGTCTACCTTCCCCTACTCTGTTGCATACAACCGTCTGTGATTCTAACCTGTTCCTGTATCCTGGCCAGCATATCCAGTCAAGTGTGTCCACATTGATTTCCTGAGCCTGAGGACTTTTAGTTACTTTCACTTTAAGAGAAGCTAATATAGAGAGAAGGACCTGATAGAAACATAAAGAACCCGAGTATCAGTCCTTTTTAGACAGGAATGCACAGATGGATTTGTCAATATCACTGCAACCTCTTCATTTAGCACTCAAAAGTGACACAAAAAACAGTCATAAGGTATCTTCAGTGAGTTACCCTATGTTCATATATCTTTGAATATGAGTCCCTATAAGCTCTATGTTGGATTAAACAGTGAATACATGACTTTATATATTTAAGAAAAGAAATAAAATTTCTTGGTATTTCAAGATCCTTGGGCCTCATTACACATGGAACAGTGTCTGTTGAATTATAATATGTTCAAAGAATATAATACTGGGTTGTCATTGAAAAAAAAATTTGTGAGTTTATTAATACTTTTAAGAGAATGTTTTATGAACAATAGAATTTAGTTGTCAGTTGTTTGTTGAGGTAATGTTTTTAAAGCATTGTATCTCTTGAGGGGGTATAGGTAAAAGCCACTATCAGTGTATATTTTCACACAACCCTTACCACCTGGACCACAAATCCTCTACTTTGTTCCTTTGGGAACACTCCCTTCCCTATTTCAAACCCACCTCCTCCCACTATTTTCCCAGTTCTGAAAAATATTCATAATATAATATAAATAAAAAAAATTTGAGTTTTTACTTCAAAATATAAGTTGCTATATTGATAGAAGAATAAAAATGGTGGAAATGATTCTCCAAAATTTTAAGGATATTATTTTTATTTAAAGATTTATTTATTTATTCATACAGAATTGGGGTACAGGTCAGAGATGTGGAGGGTGAGAGGATTCACCAGGGACAGAGTGGGGAGCAGAACAGAAAGATTGATAAAGTACACTGCTGAGGGGAGCAGCGGGCGGGTCAGGAGAGGTCTGCCTCGCCATGTGGATCTCCTCCGGGGCGGGCGGGGATCAAACTCATGTGGAAGTGGTTTAAGCTTCTTAGAGCAGTGCTTTAACCGGCTGCACCGCCAGGGAGGGCCCTTACGGATGTTATTATAGAAAGAATAGATGTTTTTCCCTGTATTTTGATCAACTTTGCATATTTTCCTATAAGGTAGTATGGTTCTCCTGTAAAGATATTTAATAAAGTAATCTTCTCTTGTCTGACTATAATAGTATTACTATTTGATATTGCTGAAGATTCGGGTTTTACTAGTTGAATGTTTTCTGTAAGCCTTTTAATCCCTCTAGAAGATGTGAAAACATGGATATAACAGATACTTATGTGTAATTGGGGCCCAAAGATCTTGAAAACTCAGTTGATATCAAATAGGGATTAATGGCACAAGAGTGTTTAATTTCCTTTGGTCATTAAAAGTAAAATTCAATTATTTAAAAAGTTGCACTGTTACAATAACTCATGCAAAATAATAGATTATAAAGTCTAACATGTAGCCCCCGCTTGACCAATGCATACTTACATATGAAATACCAACTAATTCTATTTCTATTTGTAAGAATATAGGGATAATTTGAAGTAAATGTGAATGATGGATTCCTTTATTGTCATTTTTAATACCTCATCTTTCTCATTCTCTAACAGCAACCATTATTTATTGAAGTCTCATATTTTTCAGTACTATACCTTTGAATGAAACTTATTATTGTACCTTTTCATTGTACTCACTTATTAAATGGAGATTAAGGCAATAGCAACACCACAAAGGTGTTGAGAGAATTAAATAAAAAAATACAAGAAAACTTGAAACAATGCCTGATAATGACCAAGTCCTCAGGGGTATTAGACGCCATATGAATTTTAAAGCTCATCTTTCACATTAAATACACATTGCTTTGACAATGGTCCTTGTATAAGATACAGATTAAGGGACATCCCATAGTCCAGGTTAAGGAGATGCTTCATTCACTGTTTGCTCTTCCTCATAAACCCTCTTGCAACTAAGGTCTATTCCATTCTTGGAGGCTCTCAGATTTTAAGTGAAATTTGATTTCTCTCAGTCGTAATTGGTGTGGTCACATCTCCTAATCTAGAAAACATGAAAACATAAAAATACCTCAGTGTGTGTGCCTATGGCACATGGGAAAATCTTGATGAAATACTGCAGTTTCTGAATTTGTCTTGTAACAGAAAAATAATACTTTTGCATTCATGTCCTGAGCCACGAGCACATTGCAGAAAGATTGACAAGAGGTTGGACACAGCAGGTATGTCTTCACAAGTTTGGATCTCATGTAGAATTTCCAGGAGAACTGAAATTCTGTAGAATTTCAGGGATTAAAGGACATTCTTCATTTTTCACACTGAATAAAAACAGCCCCTCTCCTATCTGAAGAAATATGATTGCATATTATGGGTTATTTGCGGATTTTGAGCATTCTTACTAGATCTGTTAGCACCAAGGAGCTCAGGAAGTCACAGAGATCTTCATTTCTGGGGCAGATTATGAACAATCCAGGAGCCTGACAGATACCACTTCCCCTGAGTCAGAACTGGCCCCACCCTTTTGCCCCTGCGCTTAGTTTTCTTGCTAACAGGGACCTCAGTTCCTCAACTTCTCCCTCAGAGCCAGCCAGCCAACAGGATGCCTCTCTTGGAAGCTGTAATCTTCTCTTCCTTCTGGGCCTGTGAGTTGTCTACAGAAAACTGCATGCAAGTTCTTTGTTTTCATTTTCATGTAAAATTTCATTTTCATGTAAAATTTATCAATATGTTTGATGGCATCTAGGATGTTAGTTGTAGCTATCAGCTCATGCCTTTACCCATGTTTCACAGCAATATGATAAATGGTTTCTGTAGGTGTTCAAATAACAAATATTTTAGACACTTTGGACCATATTGTCTGTCTTGTGATTACTAACCTCTGACATTTAACTAAAATAAAAAAAAATCATAGACAGTGTATAAATGAGTATCCTTTACTGTATTCCATGAGTGTCTGGGCATGTTGTCTTTTCAGTCCAGAGGAGTCACTTGGAAAATTCTTTATTGCTGTATGTCACTTGTTCACTTCTTTGTTTGCAGTTGTTGCTGGTCAGTTAAAGTTGGAGCAAGCTAAAATATCGATTTCCAAGCTAAGATATCAGACTGTCCAAATAAATTGCAAGATGTCCTCTGGTAACTTTGACAAGGCATACATACACTGGTACCAACAGAAATCTGGCCAGAATATAGAACATCTACTGTCTGTTCAATCCATAACGAAACCTTATCAGAAGACAATAGACGGTAAGAACAAGCTCGAAGCCAGCAAAAACTCTCGCACTTCCACTTCCACTTTGAAAATTAATTACTTTGATAAAGAAGATGAGGGCATGTACTACTGTGCCTGCTGGGACCACAACATTCAAACTGCCAGCATAACCTACACAAAAATCAACTCTTGGTCCATGCCCACCCACATCCTACCCAATATGGGTCCCACAGAGGCCTCACACCTAGGTGCTCATCCTGAGCTTCCCTTTCTACAGAAAGGGAGTATATTACTGTGGAGTTGTATATATGTATGTATGAGACACAAATAGAAAATCATTGCATGGTAGGCAACCTGCTGGTCATAGTTCATTTTCTATAATCATCACAAAACATCTGCAATGTCATGTTCACTTTTACACATGAATCTATACAACTTGACTAGAATAATAAATTAACTTAAACAAAACCCTGTTTCTTCAACTGTGTCTGACCACCCAGAAGAAAGTCAGTGTTTATTTTCTTCATACAAGTGTGGAGAATTGGGAAGGAACTCACATCCTGTCTTCAAGATGGGAGGACAAGTGTTCTTTCTACTTGGATTTTGAGAGCCCAACAAGGAACTTGCTTTGCATAGTTCTCTCATTTCCTGAAGTTTGTAGTGTAAGGTGACATAATCTCAAGCACATTGGATTCACTATCAGCTTCCACTTCCCTGATAGATTGTTGTGAGCCTGTCAGGATTCCTGTGACCATTCCTTTACAGCTGACAATACTTTGACACTAGAGCTGTCATGATGTATGTGTATAGATAGGAGATTGACATAGGGAGGTTACTACCTTGTGGTCTAGAGTTTAAGAATAGGGCACAGGGCTGGTTCTTTTTATTGTTTATCTGTCTTGGCCGTCTCTGGCTGTACAAGGGGTTAAAGTACAGCATTACTGATCTGCAGCCAGTGCAGCATGAGTTCAATCCCCCAACAGGAAGCTGAACCACATGGTGCAGCAGACTCCTGAACTGACTGCTGTTCCCCTCAGCAGTGTATATCAGTACATCTGAATGTTTGCTCCCACTCTGTCTCTGGTGAATCCTCTCACACCTCCCCCACACCTCAGGCTTATACCCCAATTCTGTATGCATAAATAAATAAATAATTTTTTTAAAGATTTATTTATTTGTGCATACAGAACTGGGTACAGGCCAGAGGCTCAGGGGCAGCGAGAGGATTCACCAGAGACAGAGTGGGGAGCAGAACAGGCAGATCGAAGAAGTACACTGCTGAGGGGAGCAGTG